TTTTTTGGTGGAACCGGGGATTGAACTCAGGTCCTTGAGCTTGCCAGGGAAGCACTTATTCCACTGAGCCATCTCCCCGGCCCTGGACAGCTTTAATTATCAGTGTTTACATTACAGACTTAATGTAGGCCATTTATTTTAAATGTAGAGATTTAAAGCCAGGCTCTAAAAGCAATTTTCCAGGATGGCAAACAAAGATGGGTTCCCCACAAGAGATAAAAGGGTTGAGGTAACCAGGCCTAGGAGCATCTGGGACAATAAGCTTCCAGGGTGGACCAAGAACTCACCTGGACAGGCCCAATGCTCTTATTCCGGCCTCCAGGCATGCCATCTTCTCTGATAGCTGGAAGAAACATAAGGCAGTCAGAAGCAAACTCACAAATGTTAAGAACAGAAAGAGAATTAGTTTGACTCAAAGTCTGGGGAAGCTGAGATTAAAATAAGTCTTTCCAGACCCAAAGCACTTATTATTGCAGGCTATCTCACCAGCATCAGATACTGTGGGCCCCCCAGTGCCCCAGGTACAAATGACAGACACAGAATACAGGTAATACACTCAAGGGTGACAGCAACTTCGCAAGAGTCTGTATCCTCATCTGCAAAATGATGGGCACACTCTGCTTTATAAGCCTGCTATAAATTTGCAGTAAGAAACATGCACAGCTTATATTAAGCTAGATGTACACTGCCTTTTACCTTGCAGCATTCTTTGAATTTAATTTCAAGTTTTAAAAAAATCTTTAAATCCCTTCCCTGCTGTTTCAGGCTAAGTGACAATCTTTAGACATTTCCAATTCCAATACTGACATCTCATATGTCTCTGCTCCAGCCCCCAACTCCAAAACCAAGACTGGTCAAAGGCAGATACAACACTACACATATTTTAGCTGACTCGTCTCTCATTACCCTAGATATGAGGAAGAAACTCAACATGATCTACTTCTTTTAAGAACTAAAAACCTTAGCCAGGTACAGAGGCACATGCCTGTATAATACCAGCACTCAAGAAGCTGAGGCAATAGCTCAGTGGACTAAAGCACCTGCATAGGCAGAGAGCAGCAGCAGGGGCTCAATTCCTGGCATGCGACGCCCCACCTCCCGCCACTGCGGTGCGTGCTGAGACGGTGACTGAGACTGGGCATGGTGGCACGTGCCTGTAATCCCAGTGCTTTGGAGGCTGAAAATAGGAGAATCACTATGAGTCTGATCTGTGTAGTAAGATCCTGTAGACCCTGTCCTAAATACAGAAAATAAATAAATAAATAAATAAATAAATAAAAATAAAGGGGGAAAAGCTGAGGCAAGAGGATTGCTGAGTTTAAGACTAGCCTAGGCTACATAGTGAGATCAAGGTCAGCCTGGAAAACATAGCAAGACTTCATCTACACAAAATAAAACAACTCTAAAACAACCCAAAAATCAAACAGATAAACAACAAGAACCCTCCAACAATCAAAAATTAAGACATTTGTATCTTACCAGTTTGCTGTTTGAAAACTTAAAAATTCATATCCTCTTTCCACCCTACACTGAATAAGAAAACTAGTATATGAGGGACAGATACTATAGATACTATTATCCTGGGTAAAAACTCATAGGAAAGTATCAATACCATTAGCATTGAACAGCTGAACCTAAGGTTCAGAGAAATAAAACATTTTGTTTAAGGAGAAAAAAAACTAAACACACAAATCAGGACTGGATCTCAGATTATAAAACTAAAACCAGCCCCTTCCTTCCCTCACATGTATTTTCAATATTGTGTATGAGTTCTACTGGAGAAACATTCACTGTGTTGGTACATAAATAAATTCTTAATTGTATGTTTACTCTAGTGTTTGTTGCACCTACAGATTCTTCTTTTTCTTTCTTTCTTTCTTTTTTTTTTCCAAGTACCGGGGATTGAACTCAAGACCTTGTGATTGCCAGGCAAGCACTTACTCTACTGGGCTATCCAAAAACTGATTCTTTTAACCCACTAAGATGATAAAATCCTTTTGAAAATTAACTTGTATTGTTTTTAAAAATTTATTTAAAGAATATAAAGCAAATAATAGTATGATTTCATCAGAGATGATAAAATCTGTCAGGATGACATAAAACTGCCTGAAGAGTAGGGAAAAAATTCACTATGTCACAGTGCTTCTGTCAAAACAAACATTTGCATCATATTTTAAAGCTTATAATGTACTTTAATACAGGTTGTTTCATCTGATGCTTTTAACAACCTCAAAAGGTATATATTACTATCTGTATGTTTTAGAGATGAGGAGATGGCACTCAGTGAAGGAAGCCATGCTCAAGGTTACTCAGGGAAGAAATGACTGTGCTGATTTTAACCTAACTGTACCAAACATCTTTCTGATCACAATCTGACTGACATGAACAAGTGGCTTCAGAGTGCAGCAATCCAGAGTGGCTCTAGTGTATCTTATCCAAACCAAAGAAAATGGCACCTGCTATGGCTCTTCAATCTGCTCTGAGGCAGCCACATACTTTTTCTGCTCTGCAACCCATGTGCCTACCACCCTTCACCTGCTTGGTCCTGGGCAGAAAATCAAACAGCCAGAAAAGTAACACACAAAGCTGACTATGTTTGAGCCCTGCTCAAAACTGCTCTCTCTATGGCTCAGGGTCTAAGTGTAAGCTCTTTAGCTCGATGTTCCAGATCCTCTCTGGTCTGTTTCCTGTGGGATTCCCCACCTTCATCTACTGTCATAAATGTTATCCCCCATCTACATAGAACTTAGTGTTAGTCCGTGGCCATGCTTTTGCTGTTCCACACAGTTATGCCTCTGTGTTACTTCTACTCAGAAAGAAACTTTACAATGAAAAAATCTGGTAATGCCACCCTACCCAACTAATATCACCTTAAGCAAGTGATTCAGGTTAACATTACCAATAATGGGGAAAATTTACATGACATGACATACTAAGAAGGATGCAACTCTTTTCCCTTTATAAATACATGCAGTATATGTAAATACATAACTGTGTAATTTTCAGGTCATGCAGATACTCAGTTTTATACAAACAAATACTCGCTTCTGTTGGCATCTATCACAGGACCTTGCTTGCAGGAGTGAGTACTGAGGTATTCCGACAGTGATTTTCTACAGTATTTCCCTCATGCCTTCTATACTTATTTTATTAAAATCCAGATATGTTTCCTGTTTTTATTTGTTTTGTTTTTGGGACAGGGTCTCACTATTAGTTCACGCGGGCCTCGAACTTGCAGGGATCATCCTGGTACAGCCTCCCAAGTGTAATCCAAGACATTATAGGCATTAGGTACCACCTCCATTTTTTTACTCAAAAAAAAAGGGTCTCACTGCTAGATCAAACTTGTAGAGATCTGCCTGTTTACAGCCTCCCAAGAGCTGGGATTACAAGTGCATACCACCATGCCCAGTCTCAACTACTGTCTAAGCACGCCTTGGGGCAGGGCCAGCACAGCAGGCTCAGGGATCGAACTTGCTCTCCTGTGCTTGCTTGCAGGTGCTTTAATCTGCTGAGTTATTTGCCCAGCCCTTCCAAATTTTTTTATTAGTACATGTTTTCAGTATATGATTATATTCCTTTTTTTTTTTTTTTTTTTTTTTTGGTGGTACTAGGGATCAAACTCAGGACCTTGTACTTGCCAGGCATGCACTTATTCCACTGAGTTATCTCCCTGGCCCCAATGATTATATTCCTTGTGGAGAGTTACATGCTCACAACACATCTTAATTCTTTCTTACTCCCCTTTCTTTTCCTTTCGCATCCCTCCATCTCTTGGTCATCTTCCCCTTCACAAAAGTTCTACCTCTTCTTATAACTGTAAATCTTATAAGAAAAATCATCTTGTCCAAATTGTTCTAACCTTGGCCACTGAAAATTGTTCCAAATTGGGTTCTGTGCCCTTTAAGTATGCTTCCTTTAAAAAATAATTAGTTAAATCCCGAGCTCAGGTGCAAGTGGAGCTGCAGGCATGCAGGGCGAGATGCTGTGTACCTGCAACCCAGAATCTGAGGCAGTGAGTAACAGATCTGCAAGTCTGCAATTTAAAAAAAAAAATTAAAAAAAGGTCTCCAATAAAACTACATTGTAAAAAATAGGAAAGAAACAAAATGGAAAAAGTAAAAAAGTTGAGGAAGCAGAACCTGAAGAATCTGTGGCAGAAAAAGTACTGAACTGACGTGTAGTGAATGGGAAGGGGGAATATTTTCTGAAGTGGAAAGGATTTACAGATGCTGACAATACTTGGGAAACTGAAGAAAATTTAGATTGTCCAGAGTTAATTGAAGCATTTCTTAATTCGCAAAAAGCTGGTAAAGAAAAAGATGGTACAAAAAGAAAATCTTTATCTGATAGTGAATCTGATGACAGCAAGTTTAAAAAAAGATGCTGCTGACAAACCTAGCGGCTTTTGCTAGAAGTCTTGATCCTGAACAAGTAACTGGCCTCACAGATAATTGAAGAATTGATGTTTCTCATGAAATGGAAAGATTCAAATGAGGGTGACTTGGTGCCTGCAAAAGATGCAAATACGAAATGTCCTTAACTTGTAATTGCTTTTTATGAAGACAGACTAACTTGGCTTTCTTGTCCAAAAGATGAAGCTCAATAATATACATCGTGTGTGTGTGTGTGTGTGTGTGTGTGTGTGTGTGTGTGTGTGAAAAAAACAGCATTCTAATGAAAATCAAGTTTACTATGTCAATTTTGGGGGAGTTATTGGGTTTTGTATCTATAGCACTAGTTACTTTGAACAAATAAATAAAGCTTTTGTAGTTGCCTCCTTTATCAGAAAAGAGCATCTGATAGCCTGATATATTTCCTCTGCTTTTCTCAATGTTGGGGGGTACCTCCATAGCCAAAATCATAACTCCTATTTATGTTTTAGCTCACATACTTAAGGATCATTCTGAGGGTCTTTTTGTGTGTACATAAATAAAATACTTATGTGAAAAAATAATTTAATCAATTAGCAGGATTGGGGACTGAATTCAGGGTGGTGTGCATGCTAAGTAAGCCCTCTACTACTGAGCATACCCATACCCCTGCTTTCTTTAACCTTATTTTGAGACAGGGGCTCACCAAGTTGCCCGGCTTGGTCCTGAACTTATAGTCCTCCTGCCTCAGCCTCCCAAGAAGCTGAGATTACAGGTGTGCATCATATGCTGGCTTTCAGGCTCATTTATTTTCACTGTCTACTCCCTAGAATCCTCCAGCTCTCTGAGGAGTCCTGATTCCTTTAACTGATATTTAGAAGCCAAGATATGAACATTGCTGCTGGGGTATCATCACTTATAGACCCTCACAATGATGAGAGCTTAGAAATACATATACGTGTACTAACTCATGTAACCCCCTCATCTATATTATATTCTATCTACTGACCCAAATATGAGTCCACATTAACACTTCTGATCCAGTTCAGGTTTCACTCTAGCCTTCCCCTTTCCTAATTTATAACTTCTTTCTCTAATATGTAAAACTTGACTCTCATTATTTACAATATATTTACCTACTTATTCAACCACAGTATGCATTTAAAATAGAGATAGAATTTCCAACATAACCTTGAGAGAAACAAATTTTATAAACTAGAGTTCTTTGTTTATATGCAATTTTTTGTCTTTACCCTTATAATATACAGTCAAAACATTGTTTCCCAAGGTCAGCTCCTTTCTTCCCTACCCCCTTCACTGTGGTTGTGACTCACTGTAACACCAGTTAGAGTCAATCGTAATAGTGCATTCTAGCTCTTTGTCTCTTGCCCCCTCACATCCCGGTTGATTAAAAAAAGGGATTTTACAAATAGTAAAATTCTTTTTCATGTGGTGTATAGTTCTATGGATTTGGAAAAACGCAGATTTATGTGTTGGCCAGAAGAGTTCCATACATTATTTCTTACACCTTCGATATTTCCATGGCAATTGTAATTTTAATTATACATTTCCAGCACCAACCAGAAGGTGGCAGGGTTTTGCTCTGAAGGCAGCTGCCTTCTCTAATGCTGACAGATCATTGCCCCTCAAACCCTGTAAGTCATCTTCTGGCTATAGTTGGTAGAACAGTTAGAAAGTTAAGTTTCTTTTTCCTAAAACAAGTGAATTTGGCTGGAAGCCTAAAAATCCCCACATTCCAAGTGAAGAAGCAGGCAGATTCTTCAGAGAAAGCAGTCAAGAAAGCATTCCACAATTATGCTTTGCACAAAATACTCAGTGAGGGCAACAAAGGGAGATGACAATAGTAGAGGACAAGATGAAATCAGGGTGAAGGTAGAAAGACAACGATAGACTCCTTTCAAGGAATGGTGGTTCCTATCAGAGGCTAGGCCTGATTTCTGTAGCAGGAGTGGGATAATGGGGAAGGGAGAGAACTCCCAGGAAGAGCAAAGAACTTGAGCACAGGGAAAATGGCTAGGGTGGCCTTGAGGCAGGCAGTGTTCTAGTAGAACCAAGGTTAGAAAGGAGCAGAGGACAAACTCTGTAACACCTCAAACACCTGCTAAGGCATTCATTCAGTATCCACTCCAAGGGCCCCGGGAGATGGCTCAGTGGAATAAGCGCTTCCTTGGCAAGCGCAAGGGCCTGAGTTCAATCCCCGGTTCCAGGAAAAAAAAAAAAAAAGTATCCATTCCAATGTGCAAATAGCTATGCCAAGAGCAGACATGTGAAATAGTTCACATTCTGCTCATTAACAAATTGTAGTTTTAAAAATATTAATTGTCATTATAACCACTCCCAGACTAACTCAGTGATTTTACCTCTTCAAGCCACATTTGTAAGCTGGGAATAATAGTCAACAGTGGATTTATTGTGTGTATTCAATGGTGTAATGCATGGAAAACACATAAGAGTTTCTGGTACATGTAAGTGCTCAATAAACATCAGTATTACAAAAAATTACAAGTCATATTTATCTAAATGCCTTCTGTATCTCTTATCTTTTTCATAATGGGCAGGTTTTTCTTTTCATTTTTAAAAAAATGATAGGCAAGTTTTAAAAAGATCCTTTTCATCCCTCACACAGTAAAATTGGTCTGAACTACTCTGAAGTGTTACTTTCACTAACGCTCCGAAAAAAGTTTGACTAGTGCACAAATCTAACTCTCCAACCTTGTATGCTGCTGCTATGAACCCCCAATAGTTTCCTGCATATTTTATCCACATCATTTTTAGCCCCCAGAGGATCCTGAAAAGTAGTTAATATCATAATGTTTTTAAAGATAAGATCGCTGAATGTCAGAGGCATAAAACAAACTTCCCAAGGCCACAGAGCAGTCTCCCTGCCTTAGTGCCTCTATTCTTTCTAGCAAATGGTACTGTCCTACTCCCCAGTCGCCAAGGGAACACAGCTTGTATTCTGGCATAAGTAACTCTCTTCCATATCCAAGCTCTCTGTGGGGGTGATTCTAGCTTTGTACCAGCAGCTCCACAAACTTCAATTTGTTTTTGTTTTTTTTTTTTTCAAAGTTTTATTGATAAACAGATAGCAATGAGACAGTTTCAAATCAAATCGGAAGTACAGATTCAACAAATAATACACTGCATATATTCTTCTTAGTGGTTAATTGCTGTACAAGATGCGGACTTGTGATCCTATTTACAAACACCATTAGAACAAATCATTCTGAGAATGCAACTATATATCTATCCCAACCACTTTGAATACACAGATACAAAATGGACATTCATCGGTATACCCCATTTTTTCTAAGTTCCGTTATTCAATATTATAGGTGTGTAAACTCAGCAAAATATTCTAAAAGAGTCCAGTAGCCCATAATAGCATTGGGTCTTCTGTTTAACTGGCAATGTCAGAAATTATTGATCTGAGTCCCCTACAGCTCAACTTAACAGCATGGCTTTATTTCCTATATTTCGTCTTCATACTTTTCTACTGGATGGTTAAGACCAACACGAACTTCAATTTGCAGGCAGGACTTTTCACTCAGTTTCAATTCTATACATTCAACTTTCTGGTGGCAATCTGGGCCTGGAGATACCTCCACTCAGTGCTGCCAAAGTCAGCACTGAACCCTGTGCTACTCTTTAGTGTTTCCCCCGTTAGCCATTACTCTTAACTCAAGCCTTCAACTCCAACTTCCAGTGCTGACCAAAACTCAGTGTGACACCAATCTATCTCATCAGGTGAGCTTATTCCATACCTCCTGTCTGTGCCATCCTTCAAAGATGCCCTCCAGATTAATCTTAGTACAACATCAGTTCATTCATGTCATCTCTGGCTAATAGCTCTCAGAAAGCTCTCCAAATACCACTATACCCATGTTTAATGTTGCACAATCCACAACAGCCAAGACATAGTATGAACCTAGGTGCCCACCAACAGATGAACAGATAAATAACATGTGGTATCAACACACAACAGAGGGGCTGAGATGGCTCAGTGGTTTAAAGCACCTATTTAGAACAAGCTTAGCAAAGCACAGGTACCACGTTCAATCCCCCAGCACCACATGCCAGCCAGCCCCGCCCCCTGGTGGGCTGAGCTGGCCACACACACACACACACACACACACACACACACCTAAAAATAAATAAAAATTCAACACACAACAGAGTGTTATTGAGCTATAAAGAATGAAGTTAGGTCATTTGCAGAAAAATTAATAGGACTGGAGATCATCATATTAAGTGAAATAAGTCAGATTCAAGAAGACAAGTATTGCAGGTTTTCCCTAACATGAAGAACCCCACTCTCAAAGGCATGAAAGTAGAAGGGAGACTATTATTAGACAAGAGGAAGGTGGTAGCAGTGTAAGGGAGGGTAAAAGAGGAATAGACATGATCAAAATGCTATGCACATGCATAAAAACACAAACTTTTTTTTAAAAAAGCTTGCCAACAAAACCCAAACTCTTTGTGAATCTAGACACAGATTTCTGAACATACCTAGCCCCAGAGTATATGATGGTTCTATTAAACAAAATCGTATCATTCAGAGAACTATCTTGCCTTTCCATCTAAAATTTTTACTTTCTGCTATTATCCCTTGAAAAACTAGGAATACATGTCCCAGTCAGGACCTGATTTGTTAATTGCAATCTTGCCACACAGGGCCTGTGTTTTCACTCCTTCAGAATTCTTAACATCTTACCTCTGTCTTTCCACTTAAACAGGGCTGTGAACATATGAGTATAGTGCCAGTTTGGAAACTGAGTATTTCTGAAGCATAGCAGCTGATGCTAAAGGCAGTGATGGTGAAGGGCGGGCAGTAAGAGATTTGACCACTCACCCTTCCGGTTCATCCCCATCTGGAGGCATTTGAGTAGGCGGCAGTACTGGCACCTGTTCCTCTGCTTCCGAGACATGACACAGTTCTTGTCACGACTGCATCGATACACCCGTTTGTTGCAAATGCTCCGCTTGAAAAACCCTTTGCAGCCCTCACAAGAGATGATTCCATAGTGCAAGCCTGTGGCACGGTCCCCACAAATGAGGCAGGTTCGTTGTTCAGCCCGATCATCTGGAACAGAAACTGAACATGTTCAAGTTAGGGCACAGTGGAATAAACTAATCCTACTCTGGGAAGAGCAAGAATACCACCCTCTTGAGGCTAACTGGCAACAGGGGGTATCTTTGGAAACTGTCCCAGGAACAGACTCATATCTACATGCAGGTATTATATAAACATTATTTATTTTAAAATAAATAAGCACACATGCGCGCGCGCACACACACACACACGGGTAAGCATACACATATCCCTTCCTCTGGGTTTTATCTTTACTTTGAACAGTATCCAACTTAGAAACCTAGAAAAAAATTGACTCTACCCTCTCTCTGCCCTTTCTCATCCACAGCACATCAATGCTATCCTGTAGGGAAGTAGTAAGGATTACTGACAACATGTAAGCGCTCAGCACATGGTGTTCCTAATCTATATCCAATAAATTATAGCTGGAATTATTAACAAGTGAAGACGTTTAAAGCATGCCCAGAGAAGCTAACCTGTAAGCCAGACAATTTTTTTAAATTTTTATTTTAAAGAGGAAAAAAAATCAAAACAAGATAATAGGAGAGTAACAATGGTTAATACATTGTGTACTGTCATTAAATTAGTTACTCAGAGTACAAGATATAGGCATTTAATTGTCCAAATAATATTAGCGCAAATATTTCTTTTCAAAGAACAAAGAGAAAGCAGTACAACTATCTTAACTATCTTCCCTTTTAAATACTTTCCTCTCATTTCACAATAACAGTATTTATTAAGCAAATATTTTATTCTGGGTACTCCTTTAAGGCATGAATATGTCTGGGAGTAAAAGTCTGTGGTAGGGCTGGGAATGAAGAAGAATGGTAGACACTTGCCTAGCATGCTTGAGGCCCTAGCCTGTATCCTCAGAACTGCAGAGGGAAGGCAGGAGATCAGGCTGGCTGGCAGGTTGAGAGTCCATCCCTGGTGAATCTTACATTCTAGCATAACATCTATTCTGGGCCCAGGTCCTGTGCTAGGATATAAGTAAAGCAGCATTATCTTCAGAGTCAAGGCACTCGCAGACTAGCAACAATCAAGGAGAGCCAAGGAGAAGATTCATGCTCCAATACAGCTCTCTTCTTCCTTCAACTTACACTTAGTACCAAGCAACTGCTAACAAACAGGCATATGACAAAAAGAAATCACCCTGATGCCCTGCCAGCATGGTACAAAAATTTACAGGAATGGTTTTCATCAGAGGTTAAGGCACGAAAATAGAGATTTGGATCTTATTCCTGAATAAGCAGTAATGTATAATGATTGGATTGAAAATTTAAATATCTTAACAGGCCCACACTTAATTTGATAATGACATTCTGGTAAAGAAAAGCATTTAAAGGTAATATTAAAGGCCATAGTGACACAGGTAAGAGGGCTGTAGAGAAGGAAGCTTGCATTCATGAAGACCTTTGAGAAAGACAAGCCTTTATGATCCCATTTGGTAAGCTGAGTAACTGCCACCTACAGATATTGGGTGCTAATCACTGGAAACTGTAAAAACTACATGTGAAAGGAAAAGAGTTTGAGTTGAGATTACTCTGGATTTTATGAGTGGGATTAAATGAAATCTCAGGTGTCTTTACAACAGCAAAGGAGATTTAATAATGATAGAGAAAACATACACCCATGTAGAGGACAAGATGATATAAAGACTGGGGCAAGAGCTCAAGGAATGCCAGAAGCCACCAGAAACTGAAAGAGGCAAGGAACATTCCCTAGAGCTTAAGTGGATTACTGTCCTGCCAACATTCATGTCAGCCTAGTAATCCTGATTTTCTTTTACTTTCCTAATTCCAGGTCTGTAAGAAAATAAATTTCTGATGCATTAAGGCACTTAGCTTGCGGTAATTTGTTATAGCTACACAGGTACTTTACTATATCACTTTTTTGGAGACAGGCAAACAGACACATTAAGACTTGTTGAAGATGGGTGTGGTGGCACATGCCTATAAACCCACTACTCTGGGAGGCAGAAGCAGGAAGATCCAACTTTGAGTCCAACCTGGGCAACTCAGCAATAGTGAGATCCTATCTCTAAATGAAAAGGTAAAGGCTGGCAAGATGGCTCAGTGGACTAAGCACCTGCTTAGGCAAGCACAGGGACCAAGGTTCAATCCCTGGTACGACACACCATGCCAGCCCCACCCCTGGGCATGCCAAGCCAGCCACAGAAACAGGTCATGGTGCCAGTGCTGGGGAGGCTGAAAACAAAGAGGATCACTACAAGTCTGAGCTGTGTAGTGAGACCCTGTACCAAATATGGGGGAAAAAAAAAAAAAAGTAAAACAGGGCTCAGGGGTAGAGCTCTGTCCCCAATAATGCATGTGTGTGTGCTACTGATCCCACATCACACTGCAAGGAGAAGCAGATATATGAGACTTAGCCTACACAACCAGGGAAATAGAGAATGATAGACAAAGGAAGGAGGACTATCTAGGTACTTGAGGGCAATTATACAGTTCCTTGTCACAGACTTTTCTAAGGCTTAGATGTACTCCAGAACTGTGAGCAAATAGCAAATTGCCAAGTTGTAACAAACTGTAATTTACATATTGTTATATTACATGCCTTGTTTCTTTTTAACTAATTTAAGTAACTTTGTTTTTTGCTACTAAGAAAACCTAATTTTTAAAAAGGAGGATTTTTTTTTTTTTTTCCTGGCTGGCTCAGAATGCCTTCAGGGCAGGTTTGACTGGCTTGAATTCTGAGGATTGAACCACAGCAACCTGATGCTGACTGCTTTGTTGAAGCAGCCAATAAAGAGCTGAGCAAAGGGGCAGGGCCCCTAATTTTTAAAAAGGAAAAAGAAAAACATCTTTTAATGATACTAATACAATAAATATTTCATTTACTTTTGAAAACACAAAGAAAGCTCAAGGTAAACATGAGAGCAAAATTACAATGACAAAATTTAAAAATTCCATCAGGTAAAGTCAAACAGGAAAAATGAATGGCATAAAAACAGGACCGCCAGTGCTGGGCTCTGGCTGCTGACAAGGCTTGGAAATAGAGTATGGAACAGTGTTAGGAAATCATGGCTAGCTACAGAAACGTTTCAATTTTTTAATTTTAAATTAAAATATTCAATACTAAGGATGGGAAGGGTGGCTTAGTGGTAGAGCATTTGCCTAGCTTGCATGTATGAGTTCCTGGGTTTAAATCCTAGTAACCATAAGCAAAACAAAACTTGTAATATTCTATTAGATACAGAACATAAACAGAACCTGACTAAAACAGACTTGAAATAATTTTAAGTAATTGATACCTATAAGGAACACACCTTTCTTGCTTCAGTGATAGGACTGGATTTTAATGAGCATCTAACACAACCCAGTGGGCTTTACTTCACGAACTCATGTAATCCTCATGTAATCCTCAAAACTCAACAAGTAAGTACAGTTATTAATATCATTTCCTAAGTGATAAAAGAGAGGTTCAAAAACAGTTACTCAGCTTGTGCACTAGTCACTAACAAATGTCAGAACTAGAGTTCAATAATCTCTTCATAAAAAAATAATAATCTCTTCATGAATCATTCCAGTTATATGGCATTCTATTGTAGCACCTGAGTTCAGGAGCAAAAGACCCATAGACAACAATTAAACATAGACCTGCTAAGAATGTGTTCATGTCTGGGAACACTGCTTTTTTTTTTTTTTCTTTTTCCCCATGATAGCTTCAAAGGATCATGTTGAAACCAAAGACAACTGGAGTATATTTCTCCAGCAATGAATTCATCAAGCCTTGAGTGCTGACTGTTGCTGTTTGCTCACCAATTATCCTTATCATCACATTCTCATTCTCTCTCTCTCT